TGGTGAGAACGTTCGCCCAAGGTGACCCGATCTTATGAACTCAAAAACGGAGGGGAGATCAAGAGTGGGGGGTTGAATAAACGTGGAAAAAAGTGACTAAACGGTGGTGCTGAAAAAGGTGGTATGACAGGTTCAGCCGCCAACACCTCGGCCGATGAGAGCAGTTCGTAAGATTGAGAGCAGGTAAAGCGAGAGCAGAAAGAGCGAGCGAAGAATTGTTGAGACATGAATCAATAGGTTGTGTGGGCATAGTACTTCCCGGTTGCCAAGGCCGAGGAAGTGTGTTGATCTAGGAGAGTCTACCCTGAGCCTTGGGTTATAAAGACCTAACTCACAAGGCAGCGGAGCAATTGACGTATACCGCGACCGTTGGGAGCCGGCTCTAGGTGAGAGGCTTTCGGGAGAGGCAAACTACTCAGGGCGCCCAAAGTGCCCCAGTGAAGCAGTAATGACTAGCAAGCTCACCGTGAAGCACGTACGCCTTTGACAGCCGGGTGGCTCATACGCCTTCATAGAAGCCCTTGGCCATCGAGGTTGTTCATTCGCCCTCCGTTAAGTACTCACTTCTGTGCCCAAAAGTGAGTGGTCAGTGACCCTATAGCCGGTCACATTGGCTTTGGCACAGCGTCTTGCGAGCTCTTGTGGTATTTAATGAGGAACCAGGTGACCAGCCCAGAACCCCCCACGCTCTAGGACGCTGCCGCTGATTGTCCGCGACTGCTTATTCATCTCGTCTGCGAACAGCCGAGACTTATTCACAGTTACCTTCACAAGGAAGGCGTTCCCCGAACCACTACCAGGGGACGCACCTGGTGGCTTGCATCTCCGCCGAACCAGCCAGTAATCAGTAGGCCCTGGAAAACGCTGGCCCATTGTCAGACACTAATGTTTCGGGGCGACCAAACGTTGCGTAGATTGTGCGCAGTATAGTTAATGGTGCTAGCTGGAGTTGCTGCGGCCAGAATGTAGGCTTCATTCCACTTTGAATGGGCGTCAACGATCAGTAAAATCATCTGCCCTTCGAAAGGACCAAAAATGTCTACGTGGACACATCTCAAGGGTTTTTCTGTCCACTTCCAAGGCTGCGTTGGCGCATGGGAAGTGGCATTCCGGTTTTTCTGACAGTGTCTGCAACCTCCAACCTTCGCTGCAATCTCATTGCCTAATTCTGTCCGTCACGCATAAAAGCGGGATGGTGACTTTATATTGGCAACTCCTGGATGCGCATCATGTAGTTCATCCAGGGTACACGACCTAAATCTTTTGGGGACTATAATTCGTACGCCTCATAGTAAGCATCCGTACTGGAGACTGAGCTCAGACATCCTATTACGGAAAGGTTTCAGTTCTTTGGATGTGTTATTTGGCCATCCGACTTGAGCATAGCTTTACACCAGCGATAAAACTGGATTTCTGTCGGTCTCCATTACTTATCTCCGTTGATGTGACCGGGGAATCATTGAGATACTGAACCAAGTTTACAAGCTCTTGTGGAGTGAACTCCTCCCAAGGTATCTCTGGTAAAGGAACTCGACTAAGAACATCAGCTGTATTTTGCCTGCCGGGAACGTACTTGATTTCATATTTATATGCAGATAGAATGAGGGACCAACGAATCATTCTGGGTGAATCCATTTGTTGAATCCCCTTCTCTTGGCCAAGGAGGGGAACAAGAGGTTTATGATCCGTATAGATCACGAAGGGTCGGCCAAGTAAATATTAGTGTATTCGGGTAGTACCGAAGATCACACCTGCCGCCTTGCTATCAATCTGCAAGTAATTTCGTTCTGCTGCTGTCAGTGTCTTAAGGCATAGGAAGTGGGTCACTGGTAGCCCTCCGGTAATTCGTGCATCAAAATAGCTCCAAGAGGGTATGGTTAAGTATCACAAGAGAGAATAACAGGCTTTTGCGGGTCACAATGCACACGAACATCTGTTGATGCCAAAAGCTTTTTAACCGTCATGAAAGTATTTTCAGGAATCCTATTCCAATTCCAAGTTTGGCTTTCAAGTACAAGCTGTTGAAGCGGATGTAGATGTGTTGCTGCCGACGGTATATACCTTGAAATCTGGGGACGGCACTCAAGAATGACCGCAGTTCATGAACCTTTTTGGGTGCTGGCGCTTCAAGTAGACTCTTGTCTTTTCTTTAAATGGCCACAATCCTCCTCGTGATAACCGATACCCAAAGTACTGTACCCTCAGTACAAAATTCACCTATTTTAAAACCAACCCGGCGTCTAATCGTTCCAACTAGACATTCAAAGCATGCAAATGTTCAGTGCTAGTACGTCCAATAACCAGAATGTCATCTAAGTATGCACATGTGTTTTTTATGTCCTTCACCATTATGTCAATAATACGCTGAATGATAGCTGGGGCCGAGCTCATCCCAAATGGCATGCGTGTATAGCGGAATAATCCAAGATGAGTGTTACTAGTGGTGTACGCTCTTGATTGCTCATCGAGTTCAATTTGTTGGTAGGCGTGGCTCAGATCTAGTTTGGTAAAGCTCGCCACAGGTGAGAGAAGCCTAAAATTCTTCAATCTTTGGCAGGGGATATCTGTCTAGCTGTAATGCCTGGTTGATTGTAATTTTGTAGTCCCCACAGATTCTTATGGCACCATCGCTCTTCAATACTGGCACTATAGGGGCTGCCCAGTTCGAATATTGAACAGGCTCAATAGTACCCTACAGTTGGAGTCCGCGCAACTCACTCTCGACTTTATCACGAAAAGCTTTCCAAAACCTCGGTATCGCATGTGGTTCCAATACTAGATGAGCGACGTAATTTTTCAAAAGGCCTTGTCTAGACTCATCGAACAAAACTACAGGTTTCTGCAAGATATCAGATAACTGTGCATGGGTTTCCACCAAGTTGATGTTGGACATGATGATGTTAAGACGTTTATTTCCGTCACGACCAAGTAAGTTTGGGCCAGGTCCTCCAGAAACATACATACACATATGATTCGTTGGATTATGGTAGGAGATGCGTACAATAAATGTGCCCAGCACCTTCACCATCTGTCCCGTGTAATCGCAATTGTATATTTGGTGGATCTAACTTTGGGAGTTGTGATAAGACATCCGGTCGTATCAGGGTAACTGCGGAACCGGTATCAATTTCAAAATCCACAGGTTGCCCGTTTACCTTGACAGACACGACAAAAGGCTTTTCCGACGTTATGTTACGATTAAAAGCAGTTGTGGTATTGATCAAGTTCTACTGTAAGTTCTCGGTAATGCAGTTTGTGTCTTTGTTGCTCAGATGCAAAGGATTTCCGCTTGGAAAGTCACTTTCAGTATATGACCTTTTTTACCACAAAATCTGCACCCTGCTTGAAGATGCTCACCGTCAGTTGGTGACGAATGACGTTCACCGCAGCGATAACAACGAAATTCTCTACGCTGCACAAGTTGAGTTGCGGTTTGATCACAGTTAGTCTGAGAGACTGTTTACATTCTGTGAGATCAACTGATTAGAGGAAGAAAACGCAGCTAGTTCCTGAACGAGGTTTGCACGCTGTCGGACAATATCACAGGCATTTTCCCAAGTCAGGAGCGTTTCGTCTTCGGATAGCAGCCGCTCTCGTGCCTTCTCATCGAGAACACCCACAATTAACGTCTGTAACAGAATCGCTTCTTCGAATTGCTTCGGTAGAATCTGATCATAAGCACAATCGGAGAGGGTGGTAAGAAGTCAACAGGTACACTCATTTACACTCTTATTCGATTATTGTCGCACAGTGTTGAATTTTTAGCGTGCCGTGGACACATGTGGCTTTCCCCCCCACGTTGGTCCAGGGAATAGAACACAGATCGTACGTCACATCTTGTATGTAGTTGCAAACTGTCGAAATATCGCTGGCCCTCATTACCGTGATGGTGGCGTAGTAGTTTGATTTTTGTTGCATCGTCTAGCGTGTTGTTGCCGCAAGAAACGAAAGTAGATCAACGTAGTAGTTTTTCACTGTGTCTATTGCTGGGTAGTATGCCTTTCAGTAGGGGTATTCCCAGGCGGTAGGGGTGCTGTAATCGAATTTGCGGTGAGTAATCTGATAACTTTCATCATGAATATGTTACATCCAAGCGAAATCAAAATACTGCTCTATGGTAGTAGGAAAACTAGCACAGGCATGAAGTGGTACACCCTACTCAGGAAATAAGCACTTAATAACTGTCTACCACGTGTGTCACATGAACGCTGAACGAGTTCCATTTCGAAACGAATCAATGGTGGACGCTGATTAATTGGCATACAAGCACGTACCGCACACAGGTCACGCGCTCTTACACCGCAAGCTTTCCGGCTGTATTACAGTGGATGGATGTGGCACGACCACTGACCGTATCCATACCGAAGCGTGCTGGGCTATTGGTCTGTTCATTATGCCTTGTATAGCCGATGTTTCTTTCGTGATGTGATTCTGGCGCGTGGCATACAATTTCTACATCCCGTGCCCGCCCCCCTCCCTCCCGTATGTGTCTATTCACCTATACAGTATCTCCGTCCGCATGGAGCCGTTTTCAGTGACATGACATTGAGGTACCGCTTGCAAGTGCAGGTATAATTCAGGTGCCTTTTGGCCTTTGTGACCCAACATGGTATGGTGCACATGAGAATTTATTGCCGTTGCTGTACTCAATCTCCTCCACATTAATATCAAACTAGCTCCACTTTATTTCCTTTCTCTTTGCGCTTTTTGGTCGTTATTTACGGTTCCCATGATGTCTTTGTTCACCGTAACTGGATCCACCTCAATGCGGCGCTTGGAGCATACTTGTTTGATTGGATTGAACTGAACCAATTCTGCAATTGTTTGCCTTATTGTGGTGATAGCAAGTCCACTGTGCCGCAATATCCGTACGCGGGTGCCTTTTTCCTATCTTAATTGTGTACATGCTGCACTGGCTTCTGGCATAAGTTACTTGGTGTCGAATGATTGTTGTTTCCTGACCACTGTTCATGCATCCATTTCCATTAATCCTTTGACAGATTTGGATCACGTCACTGACCCAGTGGACTTGACAATATGCCAGCTTTTGTATGTACCTCATCCGGATGGTGGTATTCTATGGTTCGCTACCCGAGCAGGTTGTATAGGTCGCCTTCTTGACGTGACTATCACTGGTGCGTTACGTGCATAAAATGCCTTTTTTCACTGCCCTTGTTTTTCACTGTTTTCCGAAGTAAACAAAATCTTACAATCGCTGATGATGTTTGTGACTACTGCTGAAGTTCTTTGACGACATCGTCCTCACCGTCTGTTATGTCACATGCAATGCGCACTCACATGTTACCCGCAGGAGTTGTTTATTTCGCATGTCCAGTGCTGGATTCCGTTCACTGGGATCTGAAACATTAGTTCACACTTCTGACTAATGCCCATTAACAGTTGATCCATACTCTGGGTTCCAATATTTTACTGGTGATGATGTATTCCTCGGCCTCTCCTTCCCTCTCTTATTTCTGTTATTCAACAGCCCATTTTTCTCAATATCTTTCTCGTAATCGATTCTCTTTCAGCTGCTCTAAACTTACATCTAACTACATCCGACTTTTCTCAATTTCACCATATTGGTCTGACTGGACCGTCAATTGGCTCAGTTAAGTTTTAGAAACGTGTTTCCATCTGTTTCCAAACGGCCTCCATCTCACAGTCGTCCAACACAGCTGTATGGCATGTTGCACCTGACACCCTGTCATTCATAGTTGCTCTACTCGTATGTCACGGATAGGACAACTGCCTTCAACTCTTCGCCGTCACAACAGCACGTGCCTTATACGCTGGCTTCAATGAACAAGCGGAGCTAACACACGCTCATACTCTTTAGCTGTTAACCATTGCACTTACTCTCTGTATGCATTATTAATCGTCGCTCCGTACGCCACTTCTGCTAACCTATCTTTCTCTCGCCGTAAATCTCCGTCATTCCTATACTTCTCGACTAACCTGGAGCACTCATGTTCTCTTGACGCCGCAGAGAGCATCGAATTTTTGTCCCAAATATATTTTCTCAAATTTTCTTAGCGGTGGATCAACGTTGAAGCAAGAAGTTCATTCGAAAATAGACTGTGCCCTGTAGTCGTATTTTTATTCAAATCGGCGCCTAGCTTCGCAAGGGCGCTTGTTTTCTTCGTCTTGAAGTTGGTATGTCAAACTTGGACTTGGCTATAGCATTGAAGACGAGTAGCCCAGGTTCTTCAGACGGCTGAGCTTGGCAATTTTGTTGTTGTTGTTGTGAGCGCTCACAAGAGCAAGCAGACAAAGGCCACGAAACGCAAGGAGTCAAGGTCAAACTTCATCTGCCCATCAACCAAGTGCAAGGCGGATCCAAGTCCCAGCCAATAGGATTGCTCGTCTCCACGGGCAACCACGGCGGTATAAAATAAAGCGCACTCACACCACGCTGAGCGCACTCACCGAGGCTCCTCTTCGCCACTGCATGCCACTCAACTGCGCACTGACGATGTCACCTCGATTGGTGACGAAACGTTTGCAACAAAATTGTCAAGCTCAGCGAACAGTTCAACCGCCAAACTTGGATTTATTCTCCATGGCTCTGAGTTAATGTTCGCTGACTATTGTATCACAGGTTGTTACGATCAGATCACTACCACGCACCCGAAAAAGCGATACTCTGCTGTTTCGCACGTTGGGCACACAACAACGGTTTGAGCTCTATTCGGCATTCCCCTCTCGAGTAATTGTTTTATCGTTACTAATCTACAGGGACAGGGAACTTCCAAGTGACTGATGTGATGGAGCGCAGTGCATCCAACACTATCATGTACGTTGCTACACTGTGTGGATAAGACCTGATCTCTGAAAGTGCACTTTCTACCACCCATCCATTATCAGTTGCGTGACATTATTAAGCCAGGTTGCTAGTCTCTGATCTTTGTGAATCAGCTTCTTAGTTGACTAGGCGTTTTATCACTACTTTTCTGCACAAATTCAGCATCTGAGTACCTTTCCATTCCCAGATCCACTGGATTCCTGTGCCAAATTGGAAGTTCCTCCAAGTTCCACTATTTCAATCAGCTGCCACGGTTACCGAAGACCGGTATGTAATCTTATTACTGTCTGCGGTAAGTCAATCTCCATAGCCTGAATTCCTTTCATCACTGTCTCATTGCACGGAAGACTCTTTTGTGTCATATGTAGTGGTCTTTGGTCTTTTTGTACACACAAAGCTCAAGCTCCTTCACTTCATTATTCGCGTCACTCGGCAAAATACATATCTGCCTTCTCTTTGGTTATTGCTTGTCTCATCTAAACAACTTGTCACCCCAGTGCGGTGGTTAGCTTGTGGTTTTTCTATCATTCCTTGTATGCTTTGCTTTATGGCCATATACTGCTTGTCGAGGCTGTTGGTGGTACCAAACGCGTTCTATGGAGCTTACTTTTCACACCCTAAACGCGTTAAGCTGGTCGTTCACTTGGGATTTACAATGCGTTGTCAACCATGGACAACGAGTAATGCTCCGTTTCGTTTGTCCTAAAAACTCCATGTGATGGACTATGTGACCGCAGTTTTTACTTATACATACAAATTTGATCCACATTTTTGCTATTACGCTATTGTGGAGTATTGCCTTGGACTCAGCAGATAATGTTTACCTTGGCCACATGCGCGACACGTAAATGTGGCAAGCTATGCATCAAACCGACATTTCATATCTCCGGTTCGAATGACATTAGACGCTTTATAGTGTGTATTTGTTTTATTCGGTTCGTTTGGGTTTGTGTGTTGCCTCGTTGATTGCACCGATTTCGGTCACATCTTTCACAAACCGTGTCGCCTTTTTGATTACCGTTCATTCTATAAATGTTTTGTGCCTTTTGGGCGAAATTTATTAGATTTTCCAAATTTCCAACCGTTTGAACTGGACCGATGTGTGTGAAGCAATCACTTCCCAACAAGTTTACAAAAGTTTAGAAAAGCAGAGTTAGAGGGTGTGTTTGGCAACGTTTAAACTTTGGCACAACAATAACGACAACAACCACAGTAGCAGTATATCAGCCGTTCGAACTGATGCTTCTCTGCGATACAACCATGACAATCTAAGGAATAAAGAAGGAGAGAAGGCGGACTTACCTGAAAACCCTTATACCCTAAGCAAACATTCAGGGTCAAAACACTTACACTTTGTATAGACAACATGCCGTCACAAATAGCTGGCTGTCGTGCAAAGATAAGGTGGCATCAGCGAGACAGTTTCCTTGCGACTTTCATTGCTCCTTTCACTGGGCACCAAACACACTTTAAACAGGCAATCCGATTAGGAGACGGCAGAGGACGTGCCACTGGTGTCGGTTTCGAGCCATGTCCTGTAAATTCTCGAGCCAAGCACAAGGCCGCTCACGTGGGCTCCAGTCCAGGAGGCAAGACTGACCAACGGCACCCAGTTTGGTCCTCGGTGACTTCATTTCCCGCTGCCAAGTCAAGTTCTGTCCACCTCGAGCCTTGCACCACCCTACAAGTGGCAGACTAAACAAGGCATACGTAGCACGTGCCCGAGCCAACGCAACTTATTCATTGCTATCTGTTGTTCTAAGGAGCCGGCATGATTATCACTACCAATACTCGCCTACACACATCATCGTTGCAGACAACCGCGATGCTTCGCCGACAACGATGATCGAAGACTTGAAGGCGCCTCAGATCTTCATACCAAGGGGGCCAAGTCTCACTCCCATAGAGCTGGACGGTCCTCACTATGGCCTTGTATCCGCGGCACGAAGGAAAACTCTATTCTGTCGCCAAAGTGCCGCAGATTCAAGTAGGCCGTTCTGGCTTCTGCAGTTCGTCGACTGACTTCAGTTTATTTGTGCCCAATCGTTGCTGATGCAGCTGCCAAGGTAAGTGAATCGATCATCCAGCTCGAGTTCCTCGTTATCAAGCGTCAATGGTTTATCAAGTGGCAGGTGGTCCTTCAGCAACGCTTTGCACTTTGAGGGTGCTAATTGCATACCAAATAATGGGACCACTCTGGACAGGCTATTCAGGTTTGATTGTGCCGCCGAAACATAGTCGATATACAAGTCGATATCGTCCGCATAATCGAGATTAACTAATCTTTCACCAAGCAAGATCTCAACGCCTACATCATGAGATTCCGTAAGGGAACACCCCATGATAGAGTCTATGACGAAATTGAACAAAAATAGGGAAATCGGACAACTCTGACGAACGCCACTTGTGGTCGGAAAACTATCCGACAGATCACCGTAGACTCTGACGCTGCATGTGCTGGTCAAGTATAGGGTACGTAGGATGTTCATATATTTCGTGGGAATGCCTTTTCGCGCAAGTATTACAAGCAGAATGCATCGATCAACGGAATCGAATGCACTCTTGAAATCGAGGAACACAGTTATTGTCGGTTTACGATATGCGTGGCGCTGCACTAGCACCTACCGCAGTGAATATATGGTCTATACAGCCCCGTCCTTGACGGAAACCGGCCTGCTCTTCCCTAATCCGAGATTCCCTTTCCGCTGTGAGGCGACAAACGATAATCGAGGCCAATAGTTTTGTCACAACTGGCGTTAGGCTAATACCCCTGTGGTTAGAACAGTCTGTGCGACTGCCCTTCTTGTTTATTGCCACTACAATCCATTCGCTGTAGTTAGCCGGGCCACTATTTCTTCCAGATACGTTCGAATAGAGGCGTCAGTGGTTTACAGACGACCTCCCCTTCTTTAAATAGTGCGGGTGGGAGGGAATCCGGACCAGCGGCACGAAAATGATTGAAGGCTGTACTCGCGTTTCGGACCTCGGCCTCCGACGGAGGCTCTAAACTAACCGTCAATGGCTCGTCCTGCATCACCTGATTAGGAAGAGGTCCGGGAGCAGCGGGCCAGCTGAACTGATCTTAAAAGTGTTCCAACCCACGAACAATCCAGCGCTCTTTATTGTGTATCAGTGCACCTGAGCTGTGTCTCACTTATGCCTTGTTTCCTGGGACCAGTGGTGCGGATTAGATGGAAGAGCTTGCGATACTTACCTACTGCTTCTGCCTCCTCCATTTCTTGAGCCCGACTGGTGCATCGGGCTTCCTTGTCAGCACGTAGGCTCCGCTTTAGTTCGCGCCTATTAGCCCGTCTGGTCATATTGTGCTCAGAGTCAGCCGGGAGGTGTCTTCTATATTCCAATAAGTTCACCGACCTCTCAGATATCCAGTGACTGGTGTGGTGACGACTGATAGTGCCACAAGCAGATGCTCCTGCGTCGTGCATGGTGAACGCGATCCCATTCCACTGAAGCTCAGTGTTATTAGGACAAGATAGCTTCTTGATAGGCTTGCCTGACCGAGGGCTGAGATTATTTCCCAGTTTCAAATGGTGAATAATTTCCCTCTCAGTCATGAAAAGACGGTCTATCTAATAAGCTCGTTTTCGGTGATTCATCGTCAGGCCAAGGTGTAGAGTGAGTAGCTAGAAAATGGAGGTGTCAAACTGCCCATAATGTGTTGGAAGTCATTCGTACGGCAGCTGTCTGTGCGACAACTGGCCGTAGTAGAGGCAAGGATTTGTCAAATTGTTTATGCATACAGTGGAGGGTTGTTGAGACGAATCGCGATTGCTTCTGCCAATACAAGGATTCTGCACCTGATAAGCTTGGAGTGGGCCCACTTCACACGGTAGATCAGACGAAAGGCTTTGTTGAGAACGATAGAATGATTAGTCTGGACTAGGTACTCGACAACTGCAGTGATGCACTTCTTGTTCACTCCTCGGCTTAGCCACGCTGGATGATGCTAGCGAACGCGTACAGATAAACATCTCATGGTACGACCTATGTAGCTTGTCTTCCAGGGACTGGTAAATTGTTACACGCAAAAAGTGGTGACATCCATCGACTGTTTATCCTTCAACTGCAGATGTAGCATAGGTGTGAAAGTGAAGAGAATGCCTAATTGTGCAGCCCCGTAGGTATTGATGACAGCTGCTCTTACTCGTTTGTTAAGGTATTCGTCACTATTATCTTCGAATGGTAACCATAAATAGACAAGCTTCTTTCCTACTGTGGGTGATTTGGCGATCGCACAGTCAGGTCTCACATTCCTGTCAACGAATGCCTCGGGATAGCCGTTATTAAGAAACATTTTTCTTGTTGTGTTACACTGTGCTTCATTTGTGTCATCGGAGCATATTTTCGTCGCTTTTTCGACAGCACATCAGACTAAATTCTGTTTCTGTCAAGCTGACACGAAGCTATCAAAGTATGTATATTGATCCGTCCATCTCGATTTTCTGTGGATTCTACGCTGCAACGATCCATCTGGTCGATGTGACATTTGAACATCCAGAAAAGCCAGCCCTTCGTTTGACTCACATTGCATACTAAATCATATGTTCCTGTGGGCCCGATTTAATCCCGTGGTCCACGAAGCAGTCGATTATGCCTATCACGTCATCGACATAGGGGTTCATAAAGTTGCATGATTCCACTCGGCGGACCCTTCTCTAGTTGGTCCAGCCAACCAGCCTTTGGTTATAAAGACCTAACCCGCAAGACAGCGGGACGATTAACGGAGACCGTTGACATCCGCGTAGCTCATTCGCCTTTTTTGTGTTCACTAGCAGTCCATAGAGAAGCCAGTGGCCAACAAGGTTGTTCATGCGCCCTCCGTTAGGTACTCACTTCTGCGACCAGAAGTGAGTGCTCAGTAGCCCTATAGCCGGTCACATTGACTTTGACACAGCGCCGTACGAGCTCTTGTGGTATTTGATGGAGAATTAGGTGACCAGCCCAGAACTCCCCATGTTCTGAGACGCTGCCGCTGATTGTCCGAGACTACTTATTCATCTCGCCTGCAAAGCAAACGAGACTTATTCGCAGTTACCTCCACAAAAAAGACATTCCCCGATCCGCAACCAGGGGACGCGCCCGATAGCGTACAGCTCCTGTACTTAAACCCGACGGTACCGTACGTATCTGTGAAGACTACAGGTTAACTGTCAATCAAGCTACTAAGGTGGAAAGGTATCATTTGTCCCGCATCGAATATTTGTACGCTACGTTATCCTGTGGTCAAAAATGTTCTGAGGTTGTTCTTAGTCACGCATATTCTCAAGTTGAACTTGATGAGGACTCACGCGAATTAACCACCACAACTATACATCTTGGACTATTTCAGTATACACCTCTTCCTTCCGGAATAAGCTCTGTCCACAGCATCTTTCAGCGGATTTTGGATGACATCGTGAAGGATATACCCTTTACTTGTGCTTATTTGGATGATATCCTGGTTTCTGGCCGAAGTGATGCTGCACATTTAAAGACACTTCGACCGGTATTGGAATGTTTGAAATCGAATGAATGGATTGAAACTGAAGGAATCTAAATGTGGGCGTTTGTCTGAATCTGTTTGTTATATTAGCTACAAATTGATAAGAGGGGTCTGCATGTTTTGCAGGATTAAGTATCCTCAATTATATGGGCACCGCAGTCTAAGGATGTTGATGAACTCCGATCATTCTTAGGAATTTTCTCACACTATCATCTTCTTTACCTGGGGAATCAACTATTTTAGCGCCTTTTAACGCACTGCTACATAAAAACACCCCGTGGGTGTGGAATGATGAGCATCAGTTTGCTTTCATTCGTGCTAAAAACTGTTTAGCATCAGCGCCAGTTTTCGTTCGCTACGATAGAAAAAAGCCTCTGATTATTCAGAGTAATGCTTCTCCATACGGATTTAGAGCAGTTCTGTGTCATAAAATGCCGAATACTGCAATTCGTCCAATTGCTTTTGCTCCGCGTGCCTTACAACCGCCTGAAAAAATTACTCACAATTTGATCTTTGGTGTCAAGAAATTTCACCAGTATATTTGGGTCAGTCATTTTGAAATCCAAACTGATCACAAACGGTTGGTATCCTTATTGGGTGAATCCAAGGGATCCATCAAATGTTTTCACCTAGAATGCAATGATGGGCCCTAATCCTTAGTGCGTATGAATACAAAATTTCCTACATCCCGGGCTCTAACAATTGTACGTCGGATGCCCTAAATCCGTTACCGCACGCAACCCCCACAGGACCAATAGATGAACCGGTGGAGTTCATTTGATGCGGTACCTCGACACTACCCCTTTGACAAGTGACCTCATACGTTGATGGACCGATTGAGATCTCAAACTAGCCTCTGTGATACGTTTCACGAAACTGGGTTGGCCTAGTAGAATTCCAGTTGAGTTGAAACCTTTTGGGCTTCGAAAAAATGAGTTGAATATACACGTTGCTTGCTTATTTTGGGGCTTACGTTTGATTCCACCGTTGAAAGCGCGCTCCTTTATTCTAAATGAACTTCACAATGGACATCCAGGTGTTGCCCGAATGAAGGCCCTTGCACGCGGCTATTGCTGGTGTCCCGGCTTAGATACCGAAATTGAAAACTACCTGAAAACGTGTGGTATCTACCAACAATATCAGTCGAGCATGCCTCCAGATCCAATACACCCTTGGCGTTGGTCTGAAGGGCCATGGCAGCGTATCCATGCCGACTATTTTGCTCCTTTGAACGGAACATTTTTCCTTTTGATAGTTGATGCCTCTTCGAAATGGATCAATGTTTATCCAGTATCTCATCCCACGGCTGAAGCAACCACTTCAATGATGCGATCATCTTTTTCGGTTTCCGGAATACCTGAAACTGTTTTTACAGATAATGGGTCCTGTTTTCCGGTAAGGAGTTTAAGAGCTTTATGCAGAGCAGTGGCATTCAACACATGCGTACAGCCCCATATCATTCTGCGTCAAATGGATTAGCTGACCGGGCGGTACAGACCGTAAAAAGAGACCTGTTAAAGCAGTTATCTGGAACCGTACAGATGCGATTAGATCGATTACTTTTTGCTACAGAACAACTCAGACAGAAGCCACGGGTAAATCCCCCCGCAGATCTGGTGTTTGGTAGAACACTTCGTACTAGATTACGCCTATTATTTTCTAACCGTCGACCGCAAATAGAAGCGAAACGAAACAACACAGCTACGTTAGACAGGGATCACGATGTTGTTTTCCAACCGGGAGATCCTGTGTATAACCGACTTCCCCACGCACATTCATCGAAGTCCGCAAACGGTGATCACAAGTGATGGTAGAAAGGCTGATCTAGAAGTAGATGGTCGCGTCTTGAGACGTCATTCAGATCACATACGTCCGCGTTGTGCAGAAACATGAGGAAATGAGTAAAATATATCTGACTCAGTCTAGCCGACGTTGGATATTGCGCAAACAACAAACTGCCCACCACTTCGCTGATCTCAACGTGTACCTATACCTGTTGAACGTTTCGTTCCCGGTGTATGAGTTTCTCCAAGTGAGGAGGGGATGTAACATCCGTCACTGATATTGATTACTTAGTTCAACCACACCGCGTTCTTATTGGTTTTTCTCGCATTGACCAATCAGTAGTTCCTTACTCATACTTTAACTCGTGTGTCATGTGAGCCATGTCGCACTGCTTCCCCCGATACACTTTATTTCGTACTGTCTCATTCTTGCCTACTAGCGGTCTGGGGGTGTGCTTTACCTGAATTCGTTACTACAAATTCGTGAGTGATACTCAACGCCAGCAGAAATTGCCCGACGAGCTTCGAAAAGTTTGTGGGATCGTGCAGAGAGCCGGTAATAGGATGCTTAGTATCATACTGGGTGTCACGTTTGAGAACATGATTTGTATGGAATATAAGCGGGGGAGGAACAAAGAAACAACACAGATGCCATTGAAGCCATAGCTTGACCATATAAACTAGAGTATCAAAAAAGGCCTATATGGCTTTTGGAACCCCAGCTCAACTGTCAAGCGACACCAAGTTCGAAGTGAGAGACTTCATTCCTCTTGACCCAGTCATCGCTCTGCCTCCTATTTCATCCAGACCTAGATCGCTCAAACAGTGCACGTCGCGGCATGCGGAACACGCCACCCCACCATTGGCGACTAATGCGTGATATAACGGTACTGAGCAATTCACTCGCTCTTCCTGCACCAAATACACGACATCAAAGGCGCTCATTGCTCACGCCGTGTTCCCACCAGACATGGGTTAAACTGCGAACACAGAAATCATCGAACTTGACTAGCTTCTTTATGTCTGTCGAATGGATGTGTTAATTTTAGCAACCGTACAGTGTGCTTGAACAGACACCTACGTGGTAAACTCTGCCCTTTAGAGCGAGATTGATGTCGCAATGGTGTCAAAGATGGTGGAGATTGGCAAAGCGCCCCAAGCTTTTGCGATACGATTTGTGATATTATTAGGACTAGACCAGCCCAATCCGAGGGAATTTTCACAGAGTTAACGTCACTGATTCAAGCCGAATCATGTAACTTGCGTGGAAAACTGAAGCAAATTGACATTTTCAGTATTCGCAAACAACTGTGTGCTTTGTATGAGAACAGCCTCAGTTACGATCCGACCAGTGTTTTCCATGATACGGAACATTTGTTACTGTCACTCGTTTCACACCACTCATACGTCTTTTGTTTCTTTGAGACCTATAAATTCCAACGAGCACAAAACTGCGATTTGTACGATATCGGTGTGTTTTCGTCCAGTATCGGCCCGTTTTGTGTTCGCCAATACACTACTCATCTGGCTGTTTGACTTTTGGCACTCTAGGCGCAACATAGGAAATCGCTTAGTCGTAACCCTGAGGATACAACAAATATCATTTTCCATTTCAGTGACACTGTCATAGCTACCTAGGTATTTTCATTTCTCAACCTCTTCTAGCTGATCAACACCAAGATTCAGCGCAGTAGTGAGTCCCTGCCAATCCCGGTTACCACCCTCATTCGTTTTTGTATATTGCATCACATGTATACTCGTTTACCTCACTGATTGAGGCTTTGCGTCCCCTGAAAAACGCGGGCCAGAAGTCACTTTTGTCTCTTGAACCTTGGTGACTCGTGTGTACTCCGTCTGCTTCAGGCATATTTCCGAGCTAACTGATACCCTCTGTGCCACAGTGATTAACACCATATCTCAGTCTAATTTTTAGCCTTGCATAAATGTACTTATGTTACCAAACATCGTTGTCTCTAATATGACCTTAGCATTATCTCTGCGTCTGTGTACATATGTAATAATGTATATCTGTTTTACCGAATCCCTACTGTTTAGTGAAATCAGTATTTTTATTTATATTTTACCTAACTGCTTTGGGTGCAATGCTTTTCACCCGAAAGGGCATTCTAATATTACTATTCTTTGTTTTTCTCCATTGAATACGGTTCGTCATATAGTCTAGTTGTTTATGGCTTGTTTTCTTACACTAGATCTTGCCGCCATGTTTATTTTTTATCCATCTTGATCTCACAGAGCCCAGTTCAGGCGAGTCTGTTCAGGAAACGTTAGTTATCTCTGTCGGTCACGACTATGCGCACCTCCTCCCGCCAGGCACGAGTTCGCCGTCACACTCGATGGTTGATTCCTGCCCCCGTAAGTCTTTCTTGCCCGGTTTACCCACTGACCAATTCCATTTGTCCGGCCGCTTACTCATATATCGCTACCACCACACAGGTGCCGTCGTGTTGAAAGGTATGAACAAGCTGCGTCAAATGGGCTCCGGAGCGCACACAATTGTATGGAAACTCTCTTTGGACCCTCACTCTCTGGATTGCAATGCCACCATCTGACTGCGCCCCTCACACGTGTTGAATGGCGATACCAGTGTACTTGCTTACTGTCTTACTGTCTTCTATTCATATGGCTTTTAGTCGGTTTCTCCCGCTCCTGTGATACATCGCCACTTGTATTTGTTGCTTACGCTTCATGAGCTGCACTGTTGACGGTATTCTTTGTCTTCTTTTAGACATAAAGCGCTTTTTATTCCTTCTTCTCCTGCATCCTTTTTAATGTGCAATATCACATCCATTTTATGTCTTTCTCCCCATTACTTATTTGCTTGTTTTTCCCTTTCCGTTTTTGTCATTTCTAAAGAAAGATAATCTTGTCATTTGCAAGCCAAGTTTTTCTCCGTATAAAGTTTTCCCTACTTGACTTCACAAGTAAATCTATCTTGCTTGCCTGCTCCACTTATAGTCAGTTGCTTTGGCAAGGGACCTCACAGATGCAGCTGGTTTCCTGGACTCTATCGCACGGTTTGGCTAGTAAACGTTTCCAATTCAATAGTCGAAATGACTTGTACATAAGAAACCATGGTATTGTGATCGTGTTTATCGATACTTGATTACTGTGAAGTGACGAGTAGATGATCCGACTCGTGTTCCCGGGCAGCGCACTTTTCCCACCGATGCCGTTTAACCGATATTGAAATTATGATACTTCGGTAAGTGTAGTACAGTATACAAATGCTCCCGAAAGTACTCAATTTGCAGTTTCGCGTAAAACTAACGAAAATAGTGGAAAGCATACAGAAGTAAACATTATATGATGAGTTTTGAAGCTGCTCTCTCAACGCTTTACTCCATGACCCGTTTTCCACTGATTTGGACCTCAAGTAAACCTGGGCCGATTTCCATACTTTTTCTCCGCGATGACACTGGAACTTAACGTGGTGCAACGGTTTACGTACCTTTTCGACCCATTGAGCTATACTGGGTGGTGCCTTCTGGCTCCTTGAGAGCTACTCCTACCAATTTGGTCAACAGTTAGAAACCATTGGAATGAAAGTGCTAAGTAAGTTAGAAATCAGACAAACTCCTTATCCACCAAGTTAGTGGTTTGAAATGGTTTGGCGTCCATGTCTGTAAAACTAACCGCTGCCTTACGGACAAGCTTTAGAGCCGAAGGCTTTGGTTGAGGATCCCACTCGTCCTCCTGTCTAGTTCTGTGCGCTCTGACAGTATCTCAACCCACATACAAGCACGACAATTTCCTCGAAATCCAACTGCATCCTGCATCGGCCGTCCCGCAAATTATCAAGAGTCGCAATATCTGCTGCATACAACAGGTCGGATAAACGAAAGCGTGCTGCTACTGGCACCTCTCCCCTTTATTTTCCACCCGTTTCTCTTACTCCCCTCACAAACCCTATTAATAACCTACCTTCTGTAGTTCAAAGCTTAATTGACAGCAGTTATAATGCCACTGGGATCGAACCATCTGCAGTTACTTTCTCGCACTACCCACTGGAACCTATCCGTAACAACCCCTTATAAGGCGACGCTGTCCATTTTCTATGTCGGCGTTCAACGTTCGCACTCTAAGACAAATAGCTCAACAGACTACACTCGCACGTACGTTAGACAAACTGTGTATTGACGTGTGTTGTGTGTCCGAGACTAGGATCAATGACCCTAATGGGGTTGTTGAAGTAACTGCTCCCGGCTTGTCCTCTCGCTATTGATTGCACGCATCCGGAGACGTTGATGCAGCACTCACAGGTCACGTTGGGGTATATAACATTCTCAGCAGCAAGACCGAGTTGTCATTGGTTGATTGGATTCCGGTGAACAGCCGTTTGTGTGCGACCTGTCTGAGGACATCAAGTGGGCTTGCATCACAAGTAGTACGAGACGTACTTTGTGCTCTCCGTTTATGCCCCTACCGATTGCTATCCTGATTTTGCCAAGGACACGTTCTTTCATGAACTGAACACACTATTACGCAGTGCTACCAGTTGAGATATTATAGTACTTGCAGGGGATATGAACGCACAAGTAGGGCGTTTGAGCTCTTCAGAATCTCGGCTGGGTGGTAATTATGGGCTTAACTCCGACAAGACGGTTAACGGCGAGTGTTCGTTGCAGGTGTGTGCGGAGCAGCAGCTGTTCCTTATTACCACCGTTCATGGAGACATTAGACGTCGAAGTGCCACTTGGCGTCCACCTTTAGTTGGTCAACGATGGACCCAAATAAATTACGCTGTCATAAGTTGCATGCGGCGTGGTTCCCCCTTGGACTGTCATTCATTCTGGAATACCTCTCTAACCATGCTTCGGTGCTGTCATTTCTTCATGAAGTATACCGCGGGTATACTAAGCTTCTCACGCGATTGACAATAGAGAACTCACTTCAGTCTTGAGTCAAGCAAACCTACCGCGATTCTCTGCATTCCCCGAATTTTTCTTGTCCGGCTGACACAGCTTCATTGGTATAGAATCTTGACCGCCATGCAGCATGCGGTAACCCTTTCTTGCAGCACCATCACTCGTTTTCGCATCAGTCACCGGATATCCGAGCGGTCAGCGAATCAGTTGGGATCCAATAGAAAACTCCCGGTTGGCACTGAACACACTTTAACTCGGTGTATTCTTAGACTCGAACTAAAGCGGAGCCTACGTGTTGACAAGGAAGCCTAGTGGACCAGTCGGGTTCTTGAAATGGAAGAGACGGGGGCAGAAGACAATTACCGCAAGCTCTTCCAGCTGATGCGCACCACTGGTCCCAGGAACCCAGGCGTCAGTTGGACACTTAGTACTAGCGCCGGTGCCATGATCCACAATAAAGTGCGCCGTATGGCTTCTTGGATGGATCAGCTTAGTTAGCATTCGGTCTTTTTATTACTTATGTGATACAGAATAAGTCATGGACGGTTGGTTTGATGTTCCCATTTGAGGTTGAGGTTCGAAACGCGATCACTGTTTTGTCATTTTCGTGCTGCTGGCCTGGAATCCCTCCGAACCTACAGTATTTTCGCTAAAGGTGAGATCCTCTACAAAACACTAACCTCTGTGTGAACAGGTCGGGCAGGAAGACACCATCCCGGCTAGTTGGTGTGAATAGACTGTAGCGGCAGTATACCATAACAGCAGTCGCACAGACTGCTAACCACGAAAGCACTACATGCATGATTTCCTTGCACATATGTCAAAATTGCGAGAAAGGTTATTTTATTTATATACGCTTAATTTAGGTAATTCGGGTATCCTCCTCAGCTGTTTTCCTGCATTCCGTGAACTTATGGTTTTGCGTACGAAAGTACAACGATCCATCACCTCACCAAGTTAATGCGAGCCTGCCAGTAGGTACATTATTTTTGCAAAAATTGCTCTTCGGCCACTGAACATCTGAAGCCTTGGCCAATTGAACCGAGCGGACGTTGCTCTGCAGTTTACTTACTTCAGACGAATCATGAGAACGTCGGTACGTACTGCAATTCAGGATGTTGGCGCAGTAGAGCTGACAGGCAGTTTGGCACCGATAGCGACCATGTTTCGCGGAATATCCTTTGAAATCCTGTTAGTTCTGCTAATATACTTGCTGCCACAACTATAGCGGAAGAGATAATCACAAGCGGCGGTGCCATGTTGCAGCATGTCAAGGTCGGACTTACAGAGCAACTACTCTCTTTCTTGCAATAACAATTTCGGTCGTCTATTAGCCTAACGCCGGTGTTGATAAAATTATTAGCGCCAATTCAAGTTCGTCGCATCATTGCCGAACAGGAATCCATGATTAGGGAACAGCAAGCATCTTTCTACCCAGGACATGGTTCTACTTACCACATGTTCACTCTGAGGCACTTACGCCACTTACTTGTGCGGGTGTGCTTGTATAACCCGGTGCCTTCACCCAATTGGACCTAAGACGCACTAAATCATAGGGATGCAGGTGGGACACTTCAATTCCTACCAGGGACAGTGTCGGTGGCCGATGCATCATGTGGGCCTTTGTTTCTCTGTCCTAGGAAGCGATTCCCACCAATTAGAACGAGAGTAGGGATTTGAATGACGATTGGGTTGGTATAACGAGCCACAGCCAAATAAGTTTGCCGTATGCTTTTGGATGTGCAGTTCACCCAAACGCAATGATTGGCTTGTATGTTCGGCACTCGAGGGAGGTGAAGAACGTCATACTGAAGGCGTACGCGGAAGGCGACGATTGGAAGCGGGTCGCTTACATGCTGAAGGTGAACGTGAAAACTTGCCACAACGGGATACGGGCGTATGAATCGACGGAACCAGTGGGGCAGCACGGCGGAGTCCGTCGCAGAGCACCGGGAGAAAGCCCCGGTCGACTCTCTGGTGGAGTGGGTTTCTGTGGAGCCTACCGTTACCCTTGAACTATTTCGTTTGCGGTTGAAGGCGGAGTTCGAACTTTCAGTAAGTACCAGTACCGTCTCACGATACTTAGATGGTAGTCTGATAACAGTGAAGAAACTGCACACCATTCTGTTGTAGTCCATGAACACGCTGGAGAACAAAAAGCGACGCAGGTCATTCGTCTTGCAGCTCATGGATTACGAGGTGGAAGGAAGGCAACCGGTGTGGATTGATGAGACCAACTTCAACTTATTGTACTCCCGCACTCGTGGCCATTCACGACATGGTGGTCGAGCGCAGTGTACAGTGGCGAACAGTCGGAGACCGAATATTCATCTTGTCGGCGCCATGACGAACAACGACTTGATAGCGTGTTCGGTTCTGAGCGGAAGTTACAACAAGCAAAGGTGCACTCAGTGGCTGCGACAAGTGCTTGATACCAACGGAGCAGGGTTTGTGAAAAGGTGTCTTTTGATTTGTGACAACGCGCCCTGTCACACGCACGTGGAGCACGTTTTCCTGGAGGAACCGTACCACTCTGGGAGACTTCTACGCTTTGCGCCATACTCTCCAGCTCTCAGTTCCATCGAGGGCATCTGGAGCATAATAAAGGCTCATGTAAAACCGGCAATATAGGGACGGTACTCCGAGATGCTCCTGGGGGATCCTGAAGGCGTTATGAAGAAAAG